CATTAGTCATATCCACGCAGATATCTCTTAACATATAGGAACATCGAAATTGTTTTCCAGCGATTGGATGTCACATTTGGTCTTCAAAATGACGCGTTCACATGTGTATCATCGTCAACCACTCGTTCTTGCTACAAGAAGCTGTGTTCAACAATTGCACAATTCAAATCATCACTGGTGCTTTGTCTTGTTCGATTTCCCTTTAACACCGCGACTACACACCACGCACGCTTACCTTTACCGTTTTTGTAGTAGTTATCCACATGTCCCTACGGCCATGCACCATTCAACATTTTAATCTATAATGTAATGGACTTGGTGGATGCCCGGTGTATTACCAATTCTTTCTTGTCGAGACTTCATGCTGTTCGTTATTAAAAGTCCCAGGTCATAAATCACCGGTATTCACAACTACTACTCAGATGGGGACTCAAAAACTGACTTTCACTCTGATCTGTATCGGAGTGTGTTGTTCATCCAGTTGATACTTCGTTTGTTCATCGGCGATGAAGTTTTTCACAGTAAGCTGGATTGAGCGGAACTGAGTTTATCTACCATGCAGCAGTTACCGCCACCAGATCAGTTTGACTCGGAGCTCTATATGTCCCCGGGGTATATTCGATCGAACAGAAAAAGGAAATAAAAGCGAAACTCGTTTTGTTGTCCCTCCAGAGATTTTGTTTGTTCCAGTCGAGACCGGCAATTTCGCGCATCAACAGACCGGATTACAGGTCAGGAACAACAACTTTTTGGAGTAGGGCAAAAGGCTTAGAAGAATAACGGGTGGCCAGTTCGCATCCGATCAATTTACTCCCTGTTCGGTTTTGTTTGCGTCAAATTAGTTTCCTCCAATCCAGACGAATTGCTTATGTCACCTGATCAACAATTCGGGGAGAAAAAGAAGTTTGCACCACCAAATTGTATTCTTCAATATTCTGAGGGAGGTGATAATTAATATCAAAATGTTCTGTCTTGAGTACATGGTTATTGACACCAAAATTCACGATTTCTTTTTGTTGATTTAGATAGGCTAGATAATAGAATAAATGTATCTTTTCTAATGCTGGTTACCTTAGAAAAACGAAAGCTCCCTACGAGTTTATTTGCGGGGATTTTTCAACCATCGATCTTTTCTGAAACTAATGATTAGCAATTTAAAGAACAAATCCAGTTCTCGCTTTTCTGGACTCAGTGATGGCTGGTAATTAATATAAATCGTATAATTTGATTTGCTCATGCCCAATGTGTGTGAGCGCGTGGTTAGCATCTGTCTTAACGGATAAGTAACTTTTCAGGTCAAAACGAAGACTTCGGTTGTGAATTTCTGAGGAAACCCGCCCTAATGCAGTCCGTCCAGCACGGATGTAGACAGAACTAGATTCAAATTCTAACCTCATCAGAACTCATTAGGGTTTTATCTCCTCCGGTTAATTCAGTATTCGAAAATCGATCCCCCGTTTGGACGATGTGTGCCGTCTGTTACCACTCTGCCAAGTGAGCCACTCCGGTTTTCCTCAGAATCACCAAGCTAAATTTGTGGAAACAATTTTTTTGAATGACTTTCGATTACTTGTTGTTCCGACTGTCACACACAATGTCTGAACACACTTGTTATTGTTTTTGTTCCTCTTCAGAATTGCACATGCAAGTGTGCAATCAGTTCTTCAGAAAGGCGTCTGAAGCCAACCTTTGGATATTCCAAAAGGTTTGTTGCAATCAACGATCAGAGGTAAACTTCGTAAATGAAACTCGTGGGTCATCAAAAATTAAGTATCTAGTGACACATCTTAGACCTATTCCTTATTGTTCGCACAGATACCACGTCATTCGATGTCCGAGCTACTAGCATCCAGTACAGCAATGCCAGTCAATTTACGTTATTCCGTCTTACATGTATAAGGCATTCGATCATATTGAGGTAGGACCAACTGTGAAACTACCTTTCCTCATGACGGCCTATTTCCAAAACTTTCTTGTATAAATACCAACCAGATTCGTATGTGCTGAAAGATATTTCGGAGAAACGATTGAAATTCAGTTGACCAATAATATCTTACGATTTTACATTGTAGACGGTACTTTGATGGCGTTCAACAGTTTACTTCCTCTTATTTCATTAACGTCTCAACCCCTCAGTGTTGTGTCTCGTTTGGTTAGTTAAATGACCGTAAAGTGAATTAGGCAGTACGTTTATTTGCAATAAGTACACATTGCAGACTTGTGTGAGCCGGTGAGCAAGCACGGGCGTCCACACGTGAGCAGACAAGCCGAACAACAACGAGCACCAGAGTTACATAACATCAGAATGCGGTCACGCAGGGCAGTCAGCGCGAACAGCTCCATACTGACATTTGATTGGCTGGTGCGGATCGAAATTAGAACAGAGTGAAGCCGGGTGGTGTTCGGGAACACCATCGGATAAGCGCCTGGTCGTATGACCAATGTACCCAGTCCCACGACCAGGGGCTTATCTGATCGCGTTCGCGAATACCACCCGGCTTGGCTTAGGCCAGGAACAATTAGGATAAGTGCTTCAGCATATCCTGCTTACAGGCGTCGTTAGAGGCAGCAACGATCAATCAATCAATTGTCATAGTCACGCATGACGAACGTTTTAGTCAACATTACGCCAAGATAACACCCCTTTCGCAAACAAGCAGGGGATAAGTGTTTCACAAAAAACAAAACGAAACGAAAAATGAAATAATTAATGCCAGCCTAGCCATGGCAATGCCTTGTGGTTCCAAGTGCCACTTTGGTGATCATTCACGGGAATTAGAATTCTTCCTGTTTTCCTAAGTTCTGTTACCGAATTTTCTCCTTCGACATAATCCGTTTTGTATAGACAGGGGGGAGGTTTGGACGCCTCAAGATTGATAAGCGGTGTACAGATTCGACTTATGTTAACCATAGAGTCATCTGTCCATATATACAGGTACATAGTGTACACACATTCTTTTATTTTCTCATGAATGCAGTAGTTCTTGACCCACTCTTTCCCTCTGATGTTTCACAAATTCTTCAATATTGGCTAACTTAGGGCTTCAGCTGTTCAGGGCTTCCTAGCTTTTCAGTTCACGCTTCATTTGCTACATCACGACGAATTTCCCCTTTGTAACTTGGAGTTATTTAACATCACAGTTGTTTGAAACGTGATTATTTGTCTTGTCTCACAAGTTATGCTCATATGTTGACGGCCCAACTTGCACACCAGCCTATGGACCGACTACATATATACCTGCTGATAATAAATGTGCTACTACTACTACTACTACTACTACTACTACTATTACTACTACTACTGCTGCTGCTACGTTGTTAATCACTTGCTCAAACCAAATATAACACTCAATCAGTTCTGTTACAGCGTTGACTCTTACTTTGATAAAAACCAAACGATGATTGACTAACGAGCTACGGAATTCATACTAAAGTGGTTAGGAAACTAAATGAAGCGACACAGTTCAATAAGAACGCGTTCAGAGTTAAATAGTTGCTTCCTGGTCATATTTTGAAGTGATATGTTAAAAGTTAACAGTGATTGGTTGAGAGAGGGAGAGAGAGCATGAGCGGCCAATGTAGGTTGCGTTGCAAGTACAGCTGAAGGATTAGCTAACCATAGATGAAGCCACTACAGATAAACTGCCTTTTTAGATATTCTCAGTATTGGTGAGACTGTGAATAGGCTTGACCAACTGGGTGCGTTTAAGGTTCCTCTCACAGCCTGCGCCAAACGTCTTCTAATGAGATCCAACAGGTTGCCTCCTTCAAAACGGCAGTTTAATAGACAGTTTCTTCTTCAGAGCTTCCTGCACGGGCTCGTATTTTGGTCGTCCTTTTAGGTTTCTTTCAATGAAGCTTTCAAGGTATCCGTTTTCCCTGAGAATGTTTTTAACCTGACCAAGCTCATCTAGGAACATGGATTCGAAGCATATCTCTCTTGCAGAAGGTGAATAAAGTTTCCCTCTTGTCTAGGCGGCACGAAACTGTGAGTTGATGTAATACCCGTTGCACATTTCTTTTCGGTATACCCTTCTTTGAAGCACCTCATCAATTGTCCTGTACAGAGCTACGTCATGGAATGCTAATTTATTATCTTTCTATTCATCCAGGGTGAAAAATATGAACCTATGAGCTTTGGTAAACGTTTGTGTAATGCTGGTCAGATCGTCCTCTGTATCCGTTATGCAAAATATATCGTCAATGTATCGTTTAGATAATTTCATCTTTTTAACTTCCGATTCCAGAGTTGGGTTCCCCAGATTGGCCGTGAACATATTGGCTGGTATCGGGCCCAGTGGAGAACCCACAGCGACACAAACCTTTTGGAGATAAAGTTTTTCATCGAATAGAAATTGGACGTAAGGAGCAGTTCTTACCGGTAATTTTATATTGATTGCATTTTAGTTGATGCAGTTAGTTACTCATAAAATTAACCACTTCCATAATTTGAACGTTTGTGTATGGTGACACCACAGCTAGAGAAAATATTTGGTCTTCGTTTATCTTTTGTTCCCGGATCGTATTAACGAATTTGAAAATGCCGGATTAGTTCCATGATTGTCGCAAGCGCTTTCGCGGTACTGTGATACTGGGAGTTGATCATTGATTGAATGGTTAGCAAAGGTTAGCCCGTCCTATGAACGTCCTATGAGTGACTGAATACCTATCCCGTTCTAACATATCGCTTTTTTATATGATCTATACCGGCTAAGATATGAATTGATGAAAGCGATTGTTTTCCTTCTCACAGTTTAATAACTGAGACAAAAGAGGATTCTGACTCACCGGACTGTGGAATTTCTCACGATATCCGGTAATCAAGTTCAACTGACTCACGGAGTTCGGAGTTATGCTGTGTATTATTGACCCAACTGCTCGCATTTTATGAAGTCATTTTGATCAAACCACATAGATTAGTCCAATTTGTAGGAACGAAGATAACGCAGAGTCAGTTGGTCCTGAAGTTATTCAAACGAATACAGAGCCACTTGTCGAAGTCAACAGAACTGAGTACGTCCATTTTCACTATTGCAGTTGATCTGCATAACGGGCAAATCAACTTTCTCAATGACTTAGAGAGATGAGAAAAATGGTTACACCCCGCAAAATCTCTGTGTTTCTGTACCCAAAAATTCGGGTGAATAAAGCAAAGCAACTCGAAGGCTTACCTATGTTCGTATACAGATTGTCCATAGACTGAAGACTGCAATTCAGTTCACCTGTATATTTTTCACCCGGTTTTCGATCAGTTGTTTTTCGCGGTCTCGGTTCGGGTATGACTGTGTCCCCACTTAGGCTGTTTGGTTCTGACTGTTGCGAAGTATATGCCGGTGGTCGTTCACACGTTACTGCTTTCAATGTAGAAAACGGTTCGTCGTTATCATTCAATCGGTTTGTGCCAATTTCTGGTTCGGTTGATTTGAACGACTGCATCGAGCCATTTTGTTTCCATAACGAAGTGTGCTGTTCGGTTGGGTATGGCGGTGTTCTGGATATACACAGCCGACGTTGTTCATGATCCGTCGGGAGAGGCTTCGGTTGAATATTCATGGTTGGTAATTTGTCTAAACCGATGGAATTCGCCTCAGCGTGTGCATTCGGACCCTGAAGCTCCCGTTCACTCAACAGTGCCAACGGGTTCGGGGACATGGAGGCCGACACTGGTATGCTAAGTGGTTGGTTTGGACTGGCACTTTGCATGTTTGGCATGTGTTGTGTCTCGTCACAACCGAAATAGGTCGGAGGTGGAGGTAAATCCTGGACCAAACGGTGAAAATAATAAGAACGATCCAGTTTAAACATATGTACGACATATCATCGAGCTCTTTTTTTAACGCAGTAATCACGTTTCCGAACCATGCTACCGTAGCGTTAGGTCTTCGGCTCGTAAAACATGAACAACCGTCATTTTGAAATCACATATTACCGCACAGAATAATTTTCACGTTGTTGCCCAATTGGTGACATTTTCTATGCTCTTCGCACATGGAGTGATGAAGAAATAATAAAAAGCACAGCTCCATTGAAATATATCAAATCAGCTCTGAC